ACGCCACTGCTTTCAGTTATGTAGCAGACAAGACGATAACCTAATGGGTTGACCGCAAACTTGTCGCGTTAGTGATGCCACTATTCGACCTGTTTGTGGTTCTTTGACAAGAATATTTAGCTTACTTGGCCACTCGGGATTACCTATGAGTGATGTTAATAGCTTTAATAGAATTCTTTTCAAATAAAAGAAACAGGGAATCAGAAAAGATTCTAATTAAAGAAATATTTTTATTCTTGTATTATTTATTTTGATTTCAAATATTATTCCATTTTCCATATATAACATTGGGGATTGGTTGCATGGTTCACTAATGTAAGCTGAGTGTTATTTTCTAGCTTTAAAATCTCAAAAAAAGTGGATTTATAATTAAGTATTAAACTACTATAGTTAGTCTTACTAGTTTAACAATTCAACTAACTAACCAATTAAACCGGTGTGAACCGAGTCTATTTTTAAAGTTGTTTGGGCAGTGTACATCTTGCAATAGTCGGTTGATAACAGGTGATCTTTTAGCTCGCATGCTATGCTAATACATAAGACATCACTTTCCATTATTGTCTTGTAAATAGTAATGACTAAAATTGTTAGTTCCAATTATGACGAGGTACAGATAATGATATCACCGGAAAGCCAACCCTTATAACACTCATAGTAACAACTCAATATTATAGAATTATTCTGAAAATAAAGTAAAATATTACAGTTGTAAAAATTAAAAATATTAAATAGATTTTTTTTGTAAAAAAATCTTTACTAGGATTTTCTCCTGTATCGTGGAGGCAGTTTTACTACAAACTACTATACAAATACTTGTTCGGCGCTGGATTCGAATCCGTGAGAGCCACGGAGCTGGCGTCTATGTATATTCGACGTTTAGTAGCGGCATAAGTTAATTGATTGCCCCATTTACATCCAGGCCATTTAGGGCTCACTGAAAACCAGCACTGTTGTTTCGGCGACAGCATAAGCTGAGTCAGGGCCGTTTGCCTAACGCGCCACAACATACAACAGAATATGTCTAAATCATAGAATACTATAATACACAATAATATGGCTGTCAACCTTATTTTGTACAAGGGTCGGCGTCGCCGGGAGCACACATATAAGCAATTACGTCGTATTATCACTACTAAAACCCGATTCGCTAACAGACTGAGTAAATTAAAACATTTTAGACTTTTGATTAATGTTCAAGATCATTATATATAATCATTCATTCATCATCATTATTAATTATTATATAAACTCTAATACATATTTATTTGTAAATAGTGTGCAATGTGGCATTTTCTAAATAATTTGCATGCGAAATTTGGAAACGATTGTAACGTCAAAACACATCTAGTGTTGACATTTATATATATAACGTCAAAACATATCTAGTGTTGGCCACTCGGTAGTATTAGCGACGTTGATAGAGTTACTAGTATTATTTAAAAATGAACAGGGAATCTGAAAAGTTTTCAATTAAACAAATATTTTTGTTCTTTAAATATTTATTTTTGATTTCAATTATTTACTCCATTTTCCATATAACATTGAGGATTCGTTACATGGTTCACAAATGTAAGCTGAGTGTTATTTTCCAGCTTTACAATCTCACTTCGGATCATTGACAGAAGATATAAATTAAATACTGCAAGAAAATATAATGGTTAATTTTTATGCAAATTAACTTAACCATAAGTTAGAGGACAATATTTATTGTGGGCTTATGGCGGCTCACTTATTTGGGATTAAAATACACTTACAATGGGAGCATCCACACTTTTTTCTGCCACCAGAGCGGCGCCATTTTGGTATGAGATGAAATATTTGAAAGATTTCATGGAGGTGAAGTTAAACTATTAGAAAATTAAATATGGTTAAAGTTTTTTTAAAATTATAAAAGTTAGACTAAAATGGATAAATCAAAGTAACAGATATTCCTAAAAGTAAAATAATAAGAAAGAGAGTTAAATATGTACAAAAACTTAAACAGTGGTTTTGTGTTAAAGAGGTAAAACTAGACGCCGAAAATCTTTTATTTGAAACGCAACTTTTCACTTAATATGACACTATTGATATTAATATATGATGTGTTGTGTTTCGTATGGCGAGTGTAGAGAACCGGAGACCCTTTTTACTGGAAACTAGGCATTCCATCTTAGTCCTCACGGGTGACAACGCATCTGCATTCTGATTTGTAATCGAGGGCAAATGTAGATGTCTATGTGCCACAGCAACCACTTACCATTAGTCGACTGTGTGCTCGTTTGTCACCCTATCCTATAAAAAACAAAACCTTAGAGAAATTATATAAATTACCCCGAGGACACTATGTAACAAAAAATAACTTCACCTTAGTTCCAACTAGCGACTTTTGGCAAGCTAAAAGTTATTAGGTGTATCATTAGCCTTTATTATTACGTTATTTTTATTATTATTATATTATTTATTAATACGTGAAAAGTTTTGTTTCTAAATTTATCACATTATATGAAAAGTTTCCTAATCCTAATCGTTCGTAATAATATATTATCCGTATTACGAATCATATTATTGTATTATTGGCCTAAAAAGTTTGATACTTCTTTTAAGCTTTGGAGGAATAAAAAATAATTTGAACTCACACAACCTGCTTCAATGAAATTATCATTTTTATCAATTTATTTATGCTATTTTGGGTAGTATATTATATTATAAATAATAATAATGTCCTCCGGATAAATTTTGGTCACGAATACCGACGAAGAACAGTCATCTGTGCAGGACGGGATAAAAGTGCTCGAAAGTATGCACGAGCACAACTGCATTCTCTATTCCCTCTCTCTCATAGTCTGATGACTGATGACGGTTGTCCGACACGACGGAGAGAAATCAGGCGCAGGACCAACGGCATTTTATATTAGTACATTCATATTAGAATTAGTAAATTTTTGTAATATACTGGGTGAGCATTTTTTTTCTGGAAACATAAGGGTGTAACATGTGAACGAAGTAGAAACCTATGACACAGATATTTTACAAAAAATAAAAACTAAAATGTTGAAATAAATTAATTAATTAAAGTCTATCGAAATTCAAATCATCCACCCTACTTCACAAACGGCAATAAAACAATAAATTTAGTAGGCATCTTTGACTTTGTCACTTCACATGGTCACAGGGTTTAAGGGCAAAGGGCGAAGTAATTGTTCAAAAATTTTTTTTCAAACTCTTAATTTAATTTTTTTGTAAAATATCAGTGCCATAGGCTTCTACTCCGTTCATATGTTACACCCTATTTTTTCAGACGGTAAAAAAAGGTCATCCAGTATATATATATAATTTTTTCGAACTTTGCCTAAAAAGCATGGGCCTTTTTTTAATTTAACCCAGTTAATAAATTACTAATAATTTTTTCAGGTGTTGTAAATTCAAATATTTTAGCCGCTAACGCTTAAGAGTATTTATATTCAGTTAAACTACTATAGTTAGTCTTTCTACTTCACCGACTCAACTAATCAGTTGAACTGGTGCGAACCGATCCTATTTTTAAAGCTGAGTTTTAGGTTCAATTCAGCAATAATCAGTTGCTAACAGATGGACTTTTAGCTCGTATGCCATACTAAAGTATGAGACATCACTTTCCGTTATAATAGCATGAGCTTACTTAATACTTACTAAGCATTCCTGCACCGATTGTTGCCGTGTCTATAACATCTTGTAAATATTGAAACCCTATTATATAATAATAATTAAAAATTTCAATTCCAAATGCGACAAGGTACAGAAGGAATATTATCACTAAACTTGCAAGCCCATACTTATAGTAAACTCTCAAAAGTTTTGGGTTTTTCTGAAAAAAAAAAAACTGAATAAGTAAATTTACGTGTTAGAGCAACGTTGCTCAACCGGGGTAAAACCATGCTTTCACTGAATACCAGCGCAAAATGGCTGTTTAATGCCATTGTGTTTCGTATGGTGAGAGTCCTTTTTACTGGAAATAAAGCATTTCATCTCAATCCTCATAGGTGACAACGTAACTGCATTTCGATTCTTAATCGAGGAAAGATGTAGATGTCGATGAGCAACAGTATCCACTTACCATCTATTCTATATAAAAAAAATAAAGTTGAAAAACACAGATCAAAAATATAAATGGTATTATTTTTTTTGTAAACAATTTTACTGGGATTTAATCTTACACTGTGGATGCAGTTAATATACATCAATTTTACAAGGACAAACATCCAGACCCGAAGCAAGTACGTTTAGGCTATACAATTACATGATCCGTGCGAGATTCGAACCCGCGGCCCTCAGCGCCACAAGTCGCCACAGCACCACTGGGCCACAGAGCCGTCGTCGGTGAGTAAGCACCGTTTAATGACGGCGTAAAAGAAGCCATCCATCCCTTTATCCATTACAGCTTATGAAAGTCTATTGCTAAGCATAGGCCTCCATAGATTGCTTCCCCGCAAGGATTTTGCCATAGTTGCCATTTTGCCACCACACGCTTGTTAAGCGGGTCGTCAACCGCAGTTTTTTAAGCTATTGCATAGCTTCTATCGCGGGCCTTGAGCGCGGGGACCGAATACAGAAATTCCGTAACGAAAAAAACCTCACGCTCCCCACTCCGACGGGCACGGAGGTGTGGCGTTGAAAGCCGTGCATCGTCTGACGTCGTTTCAGTTCGGCAGACTTCGGCACTCGGCAGACTTCGGCACAGTGTTTGTGTGCGTGCGACTAGACGTATGCGTGTACACTAACTGCTAACTCAATGATAAAAATTCCTGAATAACCTACATGTATTGTAAGATATTAAAAATATTTTAAACAATATTAACTTGTCATTTATTCAATAAGAGAAAAAAAATTGTTTTCTTATCGGTCACCACGCTCAAAAAGTGTAACTTGATTTAATATCAAAGACTTAACTAAATAAAAAACAAAATAAATAAATAATTATAATTGCATAAGTTGATAAAAAATGCTATGCAATAGCTTTACCGCGGCAGTCACCTAGTGCCACACGTATTTTTTTTTAATTATTTTGAGATATTATCAGAAAAATGCCCGTCCCATGTTTCAATTTCCCTCTGTCGCCTCTTACGACACCCACGGGATGATATGGGGTAGTGGGTATTCCTACTCCGCCACGACACTGAACAAGAGAAGCCATTCCTCCATTATCAATCAATGGGCGTCGTTAGAGGCTACAGAGGAAAATGATGCACAAGATGGGCCGTAGCACATCCTGATCATCATCACCATTCCTTCACAAGTCCATTGCTGAACATAGGCCTCCCCCAAGGAATGCCCCAAAGCACAGCCCGGAGCCACCTGCGCCCATCGACTACCTGCATGTGTTACCCAGAGGGCCGCTGTTGACTTCGTATACCGATATGAGGCTGCTGCTCGCGTACTATTCTTCCCCATCGGTTGTCCGTCCTTTGAGCTATATGACCAGCCCATTGTCACTTCAGCTTACTAATCCATTGTAAGTATCGTCATAATACCAAATCAAAATATTAAAACAACTGGTTGAAGACCCGCATACTAATCATGACAACTGAAGCATGAGGCAATAAATGGGGAATATGTTCAGCTGTGGACTTGTGATAGGGAGTTATGGTAGTAATGATGGTAGTAATGATGGATAAAAGGACTGCTTATTCATGCTTTGCCTGCTCGCACTATTCGAAAAGAAGTGCTCCGATGGTGATATAAACAACATAATAATATGTTGTCAGCCTAGGTTCCGTATTTAAATGTGTTAAAATCTCTCATAAACAATCGAACTTAATGTGAAAACTGTGGAGTGTAGAAGTAAGGAGTATAGACTGTGTTTTAAAAAGTGTCCATAGAAAACAGTTAAATAAGGGTGGCGCCACTGTAGCTACGGGGTAAATTTTAAAGAACGCATCGAAAAATATTAGTAGGATAGACAACTTTTTCGAGGTTATATTCACTAAATAAAATTATTTTAGATTTTAGAGCTACTGAGCAGTTTAGCAGCACACTTAAACCGTCGACGACTGTTAAGTTCATTTTATCCCAGTAGCTATTCCAGCGCTGTTGTGGAGAGTTTTTGAACTGTTATTTACTGCTTACTGATGGCCACTTTTTCAACTGTTCTATGATAAGAGTTGGTACTCCTTAGTGTAGAAGACACTCCATAGTGAAAACGTTTTTAAACAAATACAGAATAATTACATACAGGATAATGTCTTGTTCCATGACCGGCAAAAGTACTACTGTACGAGTCAGCACACAGCGGGTCGAGCCGACAATGTCGCAATGCAGTCACAATACGCTACAGCGTGTTTCTACTTTGTATTAATTAAATAAGTCAGTAGATTTTACATAAACACATACATAAACACTCACGCCTGTCACCCAGAGGGGTAGGCAGAGACTACAGACTTCCATTTAGCACGATCCTGACATACCTCTCTCGCCTCTTCCACATCCATATACCTACGCATACATGCTCGTTGGTTACGGGTACTCTTAATTTGGCCGATTTTTAGTATATCGCCAATTTGGTCGACAAACTTCCGCCTAATACGTCCCTTTCCGACTCTTCCATTCACTTCTGCAACATATATTTGCTTTGTCAGTCTTTCCGCATTCATTCTTTCTACATGACCAAACCACCGAAGCATTCCTTTCTTAATCCTGGTGACTGCATCATCTTGCAAACCACACTCTTCTTTTATCACACAGTTTCTCACCCTGTCGCTCAGATTCAGCCCTAACATACTCCTTAGCGACCGCATTTTTACTGTATTTATTCTACTCTCGTGCTTCTTCTGCCACACCCAACTTTCACTACCATATGTTAAAGTAGGGACTAATACAGCATTGTGAATTGCCATACGTGCCTTTTTTGACATATTCTGACTTTTCACAATAGAGTGTAAAGCCCCATTTACTTTATTTCCTGCATTCACTCGTCGTTCAATATCCTTATCATATCTCCCATCCCTGCTGAATACACATCCCAAATATACGAACTTATCCACTTGCTCAATTAACTCTCCTTCTATTCTTATTTCACATACCGTTTTGCTTTCTTCTCTTTCAAAAACCATCACTTTCGTCTTACTTGCGTTCACTTTCATTCCCCTTTCTTTTAATGATCTGTTCATTAATGTAACCATCATTTGCAACTCGGCCGCCGACGACGCAAGTATGACTTGATCATCGGCGTACAAAAGGCGTTTGATGGTTAACTCACCCATTCTTAACCCGCATTCTTCAACTTTCAAATTTTCCAAACAACTGTCTATAAATAAGTTGAACAGCAACGGGGAAGCTACACAGCCCTGTCTGACACCTTTATGGATGCCAAACCAGTCCGAGTAGACCCCGTTGATTCTAACACAAGCACTCGAGTCACTATACAGAGACTTTAATGCCTGTATTAAACCAGCGCTCAACCTAAATGCGTTCATCGTTTGCCATAACACATCCCTGTCCACTATGTCATAAGCCTTTTCCTTGAATTTTGAAAATTGAAAGAATGGGGTGTACTTGATCTGTACACCCCATTCCCTTTCTAAATCCCAAATTGTTTCATCAGTTTCTTTCATAACTCTTTCAATTAGCCTTAACCTTAGCATATTCTCCCACTTAGCACATTTTCCCACAATGCTAAGAAGGCTGATACCACGGTAGTTTTTACATTCCTGCTGTGACCCTTTTCCCTTATATATTGGGACTATCACGGCTTTGCACCAGTCTCCCGGTACCCGCTTTAGTTCCCAACATAAATTAAACAAGGTGTACAGCAGGCCTGCCACCACGTCATCTCCAGCCCTTAGCATTTCGAGTGAAACTTTATCATATCCGGCTGCCTTACCTACTTTCATGCTTTTCATTGCTTTCATTTATTCATCTATACTTATCAGTAGATTTTATAGAAACAAATATACCGTACCAGTCTATTAAAGTCCACTACTGAACATAGGCCTCGCTTAGTTATTAGGAAGTCGTTGCGGCCCATTACGACATCGACAGGTTGATATGGGGTAACGTATATTCTTACATAGCCACTACACGGTATTTTGGTATATTCCCGTAAAATAACATTTTTCTCTCGTCTCTAAATTTAGTTTTTGTTTTTTTTAATTACTAATTATATAAGATTTTGATAGAATATTAGTTACAAATGAATTTATAGGCCACCTGTTTTGGGTAGAGACACGCTGCAGCTATATTATGGTTGTTGCACGACTCGGTCGGCTTGAATGGGGTGGTACCACGTTCTCACAGAATACCAGCGTAAAATAGCAGCTCAGTGCTGCTGTGTTTCGTATGGTGAGTGTAGAGAACCGGAGACCCTTTTTACTGGGATCGAAGTATTTCACCTTAGTGTGCGGCAACGCATCTGAATTTTGATTCCTAATCGAGAGTCGGTGTAGATTTCTATAGGCCACAGCATCCACTTACCATCAGGTGGACTGTGTGCTCATTTGTCACCCTTATTCTAAAGAAAAACCTGAATGTAGCTTAGTGCAACCAACTTCAAACAAAAAAGGTTGGAAAAACTAAAATGGAGTACCTCATAGCATGTTATTATAGTATACAGGCTCTTTGAACCCTTCAGAACAGAACACAGCAGAATACGGCACTACAGCTAGTTGCAGAAATAGGTAAGGTAGTATTACCTCCCTTGACGGACTTTTATGCAGCAAAGCGAGACCTACAACCTATTAAGGTGATACCTCGAAAATTTGGTGGTTTTTCTACTTAAAATATTTTTTAAGTTTTATAGATTACAAATCAAAATTTTGGTATATGATTTTTGACTGTATGACCTTGGATTGCATAAAAGAAAAACACGATATCATGTAATTTTCTCGATGGAAAAAAATTGCAAAGTAGGCTCTAATTATTTACATTTCTCGATGACACCACATTATTCTTACGAATAATTTCATGGAATTATTTTTAAGGCATAGTAAATAATCATATCTAAGTTCTCATAAACCAGTTTTTTAATCCATAACGAAGTTTTGTTAAAATAAATAAAAATGTTGTTTGGTGCTTACTTAGTTTTTTTTTACGAGCGCTTGCTCGATATGGCTATCTCATAATTTAGGTACTATGAAGTCAATGCATCAGTTTCATTTGGACACTCCCACAGTCGTCTGTTAGCTTCACCGACAAAGGAATAAGCCACGCCACCAAAACTTCGATTCATTTTCAAGGTATCCTCTTAAAATTTAATTTTATATTAAAGAAAAGCATTCACGATTACCTTATGAGCCCCGACTATAAACACCAATGTTATTACAACGTCAATCATAAGGGCCGTAACAACCAATGAAAATATGGCGATCTCAGTTTTTACTTCCTGCAACTCATGGCGAGCCAAAAAGTACTCTTTTAAACTAATCGTGACTCCAAGGAACAGGCACCAAAACTGGAATATAAAAGACATAATCTGATATAGAGAAAACATGGGTCCTTCCCTAGATTTAGTTGATGTGTTTAGGTATTAGATTGGCAATAAAAGAACATTAAATACTTTACATTTCAATTACTTTGAAGAAAAATAGTCTCGCTGACTTTTTTATAGTTTTACCAAGCGTGGCGAGATAGCAACCAATGCAAATTCTTTTTTTTTTTTAGGCACTCATTGGGTATGTTCCGAAATGTTTCCAGTATACTGGAGAATGCAAATGACGTCATTAATTGACGCCGTATCCCACCATATTCGATACAACGAATCACCAATATAGCGTCGACTTATGACGTCACTTGCATTGGCCGAAATGTATTTCGGAACATACCCTTAATTTGACAAAACAGACTTAAACGGACTAATAAAGAAGAAAAAGGAGGAAGACGTTAAATATAATAATAGAACTATTTAGCAGCATCTGTCTTTCCATCGGATTAAAATGTAGGTGTCTTCAAGGTAGACGTGAATAGGCGTCAGTTTACTTAGTTAAATCAGTACGTCCATCATCTTTGGCTACATCATCACTTACCATCTGACGAGATAGTAGCAAAAATATCCATTTAAACAAAGCTATATTGTAAAATATTTCAAAAATTCTCTCGCTTTGTCATGGAATACGTATACACATATGGACTTAGTTTAAATCGCTCAATTAATTACTAATTATCTCTATGCCCGTCTCTTTTTATTATCTTTTAGTGGAAAGAGGGAAAGCGATGTAAATATTTATTAAATTGACGTCAGTTTCTCTAAAATAGGCCGTTAATACCTAACGCGCACATTTTCTTACTGATTGCCAACACTATTTTAAAAGTAAACACTAAAACTCACCATTTTAATATACGCCCAGACAAGCAGTCCGTACCTGAGAGGTACACAAAAACAACATCTTTTAATTTGTGGTAATTCTACATACATTCTATAAAATTCAAAATGTATTTTACAAGCTATGAACCCAATGAGAGCAAATAAAGTAATCCGTTTCAAACAAACACTGCTACACTACTGTCATATTGATAACCCCTTCAATTCATAATATATACTAATATTTCGCCTGTAAACAAATTGCTAGAAATGGTCATAGGTTGAAATATAGATAACTTCAGACTTCGACGAATGATTGTGTTGGAAAATACTAGTTTTTTTCATTTCGTAGCTTGTAAACAATTTTCACTTATGATGGAAAACCCATTCTAATAAGGTCTAATATTTACGCGAACACTACACAATGAAATAATATTAGTTTTTACGGATTTTATCGCGTATATTTAACTATAAATACCCGACGTTTCTAGCGCTTTACAGCACCCATGGTCACGGGGGGGACTGAGATAATCAACGTCCAAATGTCATAGTTAACAGCGGTTACCAGTGATAAAAATTTTACTTTTTTCCGATCTACACAGTATGAACTTATGGTATCTTGAAGTCTTGCAGTTGTATGCTTGGGTTGGGATTTACTTACTTACTTATCTTCACGCACAATCCCTAACGGGTTAGTCAGAGAGAACAGATCGCCAAGTGTCACGATCCTTACATACCTCTTTCGCTTCTTTCAGGTTCATTAACTTCTTCATACATGCACGTCTAGGTATCCGAGTACTCTTGACCTTCCCCTCTTCGAGAAATTTGCTCACATCGTCTTCGAAAGTTAGTCTCGGTCTACCTCGACACCTTTTAATATTTACTTTCGCTCTATATATTTTCTTCACCATTTGGTCTTCACTCATTCGCTCAACGTGCCCAAACCATTGGAGTACGCCCCTATCAATTTTTGTGATAAGGTCATCTTTCAATCCTGCCATATTACGAATCTCTTCGTTTCGCTTACGATCGGCCATGGAAACGCCACACATTTTACGAAGAGATCGCATCTCCACTGCATTCAACTTGCTTTTATGCTTCTTCTGGCATACCCAGGTTTCGCTGCCATATAACAAAGTCGGTACCAACACTGCGTTATATAGTGCAAGGCGTGCACTCTTCCCCACGCCTTGCCTTTTGACTAATGCACTCAGGGCACCATTGACTTTGTTTCCGGCAGCGACACGCCTATCCACATCTAAATCACATCTTCCATCCCGGCTGAAAGCACTCCCCAAGTATACAATTTCATTTACCTGTTCTAGACATTCCTGATTTACCCATATTTCACATTTCGTTCTCTCTTCGTCCTTTTCAAATACCAGAACCTTAGTTTTATTTGCATTCAAACGGAGACCTTTAATTTCACATTCCTCTTTCATACCCGTCAGTAAAACCTGCAGTTATGCTTCTGATGGTGCAATAAGCACTGCATCATCAGCATACAGCAGACAATTTACTTTAATGTCATCCAATTTCACACCCAAACAGCTATTTTTCAGCTTCTGTAAATAGCTGTCGAGATACAGTATGAACAGCCAGGAAGACATGACACAACCCTGTTTTACGCCCGCTTGGACGCTAAACATGGGTGACAGGTCATGCCCTACCCGCATACAGGCTTTACAGTCATAGTAAAGTGACTGCACAGCCCTTAACAACCGACCATCCACACCATATCTCGGCAACAGTTCCCACATTTTCTTCCTTATAACCTTATCAAATGCTTTCTCCAGATCCACAAAAGCACAGAAAATCCTCTGGTTAACACTCGGAAGCTTTTTCGTGATCATGCGGAGAGAAAACATTTGATCTGTGCATCCTCTTTCAGGTCTAAATCCGCATTGTGCCTCCCATAAGAATCTTTCCGATTTCTCTTGCATCCTACGTGTCAAAACTTTCGAGTAAACTTTACTTGCTAAACTGGTCAAGCTGATCGCCCGATAGCACCCACAGTCAAAATGTGAACCTTTACCTTTATATAAAGGCACAATGACCGCGGATCGCCAATCATCAGGGACGTCTCCCGTCCGCCAGCACAAATTGCACAGCAGACGAAAGCTGTCCCAGACGCGAGGCCCACCGTACTTGACCATTTCAGCAGTAACTCTGTCTAGTCCCGCAGACTTACCACATTTCAAACTTCGAATCGCACGTTCAATCTCTTTCATGCTGATGACCTCAGTGTCATCGA